GGGGCCCGGCGCGGGGAGGACGGACGGACCGGGTCGCGCTCTGGCTCCGCCCCTCCGCATGGCCACGCCTCCTGCGGCCCGGTCCCAGCGAGCGCCGTCGGCTCCTCCCTGATTGGCCCCACCCTCGAATGGCCACGCCCCTCCGTGTAGCCACGCCTCTGATGGTGCTCGTGGCCCCGCCCCTTCGTGGTGGCCCCGCCCCGGGCTGTGGTCTCTGCGGGCCGCCTGCGGGGCCATCCTGGGGTGGTGTCAGGGCTATCCTGGGATGATGTGTGTGCGGGGGGGTCCCTGCAGTCGGGCCGGGTCTCCTCCCTCCAGGCTGCCCGCAGGCGCAGCGCCTCCCGTTCCTCAGCTTCGTGTGATCGCTGGGAGAGACAGGCAGAGCCTCGGCCGGGTCTCTGTGGGGGAGAGGCGACTCCGCCTGTAATCCCGGCCGGGACGCCTTCAGTCCCCCGCACGTCGGCCCCTGGCAGTACGATCGCGGGGGTGGGGATAGGGGACTCAAACCCCAGGAGCCCCAGGCCGGCGTCCGCCCGGCGAGGTGGCACCAGGCACGCCCGGGACGCGACCCGAGGGCTTCCCCGGGCTGCTCGCCGGAGCCCGAGCCGCGGTGTCACCGCTCAGCGCTCCCAACGCCCGGCCCGCGCTGCCCAGGCGTCGTTTGTGGGCTCAGGAAGCAGGGCCACCGCAGGGAGGGCAGCACGCGGTCCTGGAGCCTGGGCCGGGCCCGGGAGCCACCCAGGAGCCCAACAAGGACAGCTCTCCCTTTCCCCACTCTCCCCTCCCCTCCCACTCCCTACTTTTCCCTCCCCTCCCATTCCCTTCTTTTCCCTCTCCTCCCGTTCTTTCCCCCTTTCTTCCTTCCTTCCTTCCTTCCTACCTTCCTTCTGTCCTCTTCCTTTCTCCCTCCCTTTCTTCCTTTCTCCCTTCCTCTTTCTGTTCCTCTCCCCCTCAACATTGAAGCCCAGAACTCTCCTAAAAGATGAAGTCAAAGACGGATTCCTCAGGTGCACCAACTTTTATGATGTAAAAGTGTGTATAGACTTCGCATTTCCCTCTCGCTCATTCTGATCTAGTGACACACAGACAAAAGCTGTGTGTGGGTCCCAGGAAGACCCCAGACTGGCCTTTACAGGTCAGGGATGAGTCTGGCCTCTTCCAGGAACCAGTGATCACACCAGAAATCTGTTAAGGAGCCAGGGACCAGCGGTCACACCTGTAATCCTGCTACAGGGGAGGTTGAGATCTGAGGACTACAGTCCAAAGCCAGCCTGAGCAGAAAAGTCCATGAGACTCTTATCTCCAATTAACCAGTAAAACGTTGGATGTAAAGCTATGGCTCCAGTAATAAAGCACCAGCCTTGAGAGAAAAGCCAAGAGAGATTGTGAGGCCTTGAGCACACAAACATACCCACACATAATCTATAATGGCATGACCAAACACTTGCATGCACACATGCACACACGATCTATAAAGGAAGGACCAATGCTCCTCTCAGGAGAGAAGTCACCCAGGAGCAGGCAGCAGGAGACAAGCACTGCAAGACTGACACTCACAAAGCCTCCAGTGTCAGAAAGGACTAGTGATCTGGACGCCAGGTCAGCATCTGCTGTGACTGTTTGCTGGAGTCCAGGCCCACCCTTTGTTTCCACCCTGTGGCTACTCATCAGAGCTCCGTGGAACACTGGGGACAGCTAAGTAAAACTGAAAGCTGTGTGAGCGGGGAGAATAGGGCCTTGGGAGTCCACGGAGTGAGCGGACACATGATTGAGTGATCTTTGTCATGGAGTAAGACCAGGTCACCCAGCTTTTGTCCTGGCCCCCCTCATCAGCTGCTAGAGGAGCCTGTGGAGCCTGGCAATCACAGCTATACCTAGGGAAGTGTCAGCAGTGCCCAGAGATAGGGGCATGTGTTCAACATGAACACGTGTGATCATGTGTGAGCCCATGTGGACACGCATGAGAAGGGGAATACCCACAGATACCTGGGCAGAGTTTGGGTGGCTAGGATGGAGAAATGCTGGCATTCGTAGGTGGAAAAAGTTTGTAAACCATGACTCTGGGTTCTTCCTCATTTGTCATCCCCTTTGTGGCAAGCAGTTGGTGCCTAATTAGCGTGGCTTCTAACCCACAGGCCAGGCTACACCAGAGACATAGAGGGCCCTGAGGCGTGCCCTGTAATGGATGGGATATCTGGTGGGGAGGGAAGGAGGGCTAGGGGTAGCCCAGTGATAGAGTGCTTTACTTGCTTGCCTGGCACCCATATGACCCTGGCTCAACCCCCAGCACCACAGAGAGGGAGAGAAACAGAGGCCTGAGAGGAAAGCCTAGGGTGCTAGAGTTGGGGGAGGGGGGCTTGTTTCCATTGTTTGAATCCTGTGGTTTCCTTTCACAAGTTCTCATGTCATTACATTGGCTCTGCCTACTTTCCAGAAGATGCCAAACTGGAAGAAGGTGAGAACAAACCTGCCTTCCCCCTTGACTGATGCCAGACCCACCCAGAAGTGTGCCCTGATCACTTCCCAGAGCTTCTCTGTCCAGTCAAGTTGGCCATGATGGCTTATCAGTACTACTGTGAGCCACAGCTCCACTTCCAGTTTTCTGGTGGTTCATTGGAGATAAGAGTGTCACAGACTTTCTTGCCTGGGATGGCTTTGAACCATGCTCCTCAGATCTCAGCCTCCTGAGTAGCTAGGATGACTGGTGTGAGACAGCAGCACCCAGATGGAAAGAATTTTTGCTCCCTAGTTTCTCAGTCTTCACCTCACACAATCTGAAGCCTTTGTGAACACTGCCAGGTCCCCAGGAGCCCTTGGGAATAAATTGGTCCCAAGTGACACTCTGTGTTGCTCTGTCACCTGTATGGTGACACACCCCAGATGTCCCAGCCCTTCACAGCTCAGTATTAGCTGTGAACTTGAGAACATTGTTTTTCCTTTCTCTTTGCTTCCATTGTCCTTTGCCCTAAGGGGACAGGGGAGGGGTGCACACAGCCAGGCTGCCCTGTGTTGCAATCTCCCAACCACAGCTGCTGCAGAAAAACCCGTCACTGTGTTTTCATTTGGTGAGGAAAGCATGTTCTGTTCTGCCTTCTTGCATAACCACGAAACATCTGGGGTAACTTAGCTCAAAACTTCCTTTCAGGGTCACATCTGGGCTAAGTGATGGGGCATGATTTTCACCTAGAAATGTAAGATTCTGACAGTCCAACAAGGCGACCTGGCCTTGAGTTTGGCAGGGAGTCAGGCAGAACTTACCACTCATACCTCAGTGCTATATCACAATGCGCCCCCTCTCCCCTCCCACCCCTCCCCTTCAGTGATCAAGGCCGGAGGTATTAAGTCATGTAAAGTGGGAAGACACTGGTGATGGAGTGGAAAGCATTCACCAGTGCTTCTGATCGGTGACCCTCCACTCTTTAAGTGTGCGCCAGAGTCATCAGGAGGCTTTAAAACTCATCACTGGCTCTGATCCCCAGTTTCTGGTTCATCCTAAAGAGGATCAATATCTAGAATAACTAACCCCCCCCCAAATTTAAACATCAAAATAACAGCCCAATTGATAAAGGGGCAAAGGAACTGAATAGCTGCTTTTCAAAGGAAGAAGTATAAACGGCCAATCAACCCACAGAGAAAAGTTCATCATCCTCAACCAACAGGGAAAGGCAGATCAAAACCCACACGTAGACGTCCACCTCACCCCAGCCAGAACAGGTGTTGACAAGGATCAGGGTGGGTGGAGGGGGTCTCTGACTCCTTTCTGCTAGGGTATAGGTCAGGCCACAACAGAAGTCAGTACGGAATTCCTCCAATGATTTGAAGTGGACGAGATTACCATCCAATCCAGCATAGCAATTCTGTGTCTATGGAAGAGCCGAGTCAGCACAGGCCCACAGCGACAACAGCACTATTCACAACAAACAAATTATGAGTCAACCCAGGTGCCCCCCAGTGGGGGAATGGATGATGAAAATGTATTGTGCAGACACTATGGGGCTTTGCTCAGCCATTAGGAAGAATGAGATTATGTCATATGCTGGAGGTTGGGGGGGGCGGTGAAGAAAATAGATGGAACTGGAGATCTTCACATTAAGTGAGGTAAACTGAAAATGGATGAACCGGAGACCACGTTAAGTGAGATATAGACTGCCTATCCCCCAAGCAAGACGTGTTGCATGTTGTCTTTTACTGTAGGAGCTGGAAAGGGGGGTGGGGACAAACAAACAAAAAGACAACCATGTTGTGAAAGGAAATGAGGAGGGGATGAGGGGTGAGGAGGGGTCAGCAAGGGTGAAGAGGACAAAGAGAGATGTGAGATGTACATATACATACACACATATATATATTTAATGCATACAACATATGGGGCATGTGTATCACATGTGTGAATATATGAATATATAGTATATATTAATATATTAATATCAATATATGAATATGAGTATGTCCCCTGTATGGATATATTTATATATGTTACATATGTCATATATGAGTAGATGATAATTATAAATAGATAAGATATAGATGATAGATATAGATGATATAGATGATGGTTGATATAGATTAGATGATAGATATAGATAGATTATAGATATATCGATAGATTATAGATAGATACAGATGATAGGTAGGCAGATAGACAGATAGATAGATAGATAGATAGATAGATAGATAGATAGATAGATAGCGTGATAACAGCCATCAGATGCTGTCTGAGAAAGAGGCAGGAGGAGGGAGCATTGGGGACAACGAGGAAAGATGTTTAAGGTGTGGGTCTACAGGCATGGAAATATCACACCCAAACCTCCCATAACAAACATATGTTAACTCAAATCTCAAAGCAAATTTAAAGAGCAAGCGAAAG